AGGGTCTTGATGTAACTCTCTGTCCAGGTCTCTTGCTCGAGTATCCTTTATCCTGGATCGCTAGCTCTGACAATTCCGATCCTGTGCTCGAGTTCCTGTCTAAGTAAGTGTCAATTCCTGAATTCCTCGAGTTGTCATCAACGTAAGAGTCTGTCACTGAGCATCTTTCTTATTCGGGATCAGATTTATGCGCTCTGCTCATCCATCTGAACTCCCCGGACAAAATTTTAACCTCCAGATCTTGTTTCTCACCTTGAATATTCTGTTCCACACCTGACTCCCCGGAAAAATATTCTTGTCCCGGGTCTTGTTGATAATTTCGCCTGTCTTCATCAACAACCTTCTCCCCGGACGAACTTTCTTGACTTAGGTTTTGTTCAACCTCTTCGCCCCACTGATCCTGATCCTCAAATGTGACGGTTTTCTTTTGTGTCCCTTTCACCTGTTCTTTCCGTTTGTATCATGTGCTTGTCAAGACGATTTGGGGTATCGAGGATATTAGTTGCTGAACTATAGTCCTACAATCCCTATCATTTTCTTTGTGTTGACGTCTTGATCTTTACTTTCTCACTGACTGTTAGCGATGCTATGGCTGTTGGTTCATTTCTTGTCACTTCTCTCTCAAACAAATTGCCCAGCATCCGCATCATTTGCGGAGTGACCTGCACCGTTTTGTCCAGCAATGAGAGGCTGTTTATGTTCATACGAGAGAGTTCCTGTTGGACCAGGTTCGAACATAGCAACAGATCCAAAGGCACCGGGTCCTTCTTTGATAAGATCTTTATTTCCGCTGCTTTCTCCACCGGTAATTCGGAGCTTCCCGGAATCGGATGTCCAGATTTGTTCAACCATCTCGTCAAGGTAAGCGCCTCACAGGTTTCTTTGTTCAGAAACGAGAACCCTTCCTTAATTTCCGCCTGATTGGCTTTTTTCTGTTCTAGTCTTTCATAAAACTCTGTCTTCTTGCTGAGGCTGTCAGCATTCTGGGTTTGTCACGCATCCTGTGCTCGATTATCATGTGGTAGCCATCTAATCTGACTATCCACCGACCAATATAGCTCTGATCCATCGAGTACAACTTCAACCAGGATAACGCTCTATTGTCCACGCGTAACTTAAACGGAGTGCTCCCTAAGTATGCACGGTACTTCTCCACGAATGTGACAACTGCAAAAAATCCTGCCTTTGGTGCACCATACTTCATTTCAGTGTCACTCAACACCTTACTGACTTATGCAAGGGGACGGAGAACTGTTGTTCCATTCCATTCCTGCTCCTGATGCAGTATTCCTGAGATGGCTACTACTGATGCGTCTGTGCCAAGAACATACATGCCCTTCTCTGTAGACAGGCCTAGCACTGGCGCTTCGCACAGTTCCCGCTCTATATTCTCGAAGGCAACTTGAGCTTCTTCATTCCGTTCGAACTTCTTTCCTTTGTTGCGCATCAGCTTTTGCATGGGATACACCTTGTCTGCATGTCCTTTTTTGAACTCACGGTAATAAATGGCAAACCCTAGGAAGCTCATGAGTTGTGTGTCCGTTCTGGGAGCGTTCCATGTCAACACAGCCTCTTTTGCTTCCGGGTCCGGCCTCACGCCATGCCTGTCCACCATTCTTCCTAGATACTTGATTGAATCCCTGAGGAATTCACATTTCGATGGTTGGCAATTCAAGCCTGCTCTTTTCATGCAGCCAAAGACCTCATCGAGCCAATCAATGAGGTCTTCTAGGGTGGGTTTTGTTATGGCCACGTTATCCACGTAACCCATCACGAGATTCCCGTACTTCTTCGTCGCTCTGGTCAAAGCCTGAGCCATCAGTCTTTGAAAAGTGGCCGTGGCGTTGCACAAGCTAAAGGGCATCCTCTACCACTGGTACAACCCCAATTCACATGGGAATCCGGTCTTTCGTCTGTCCTTCTTCCACAGAGAGACCTGCCAGAAGGCAGAACCCAAATCCAGTGTGGTGAAGAACTTGGTGTCACCAAGTTTCGAGAGGCTCTCGTCTATTCGCGGTATCGGGTACGCATCTTTATTGTCACCGCGTTCGAGTAAGGAAAGTCGCAACAGAACCTAAGCTGCCTCCCTTCTTCTTGGCTATGACTAACCCCCAAGCCCAAGGCGAATTCGAGGGCTCTATCTTGTCGTAATTGAGCAACATTTCTTTTTCCGCTCGGAACGCTTCCGATTTATGTGGCGTCATCCGTCTTGCGCCTTCCCTATGAGGAATGGCGCCTTCCTCTAATTCGATTTCGTGTTCGACAAAGTTGCAGTAGCCGTTTTGAAAATACGTCCGCATTCTGATTTAAAACCGCCCTCAATGAATCCAAATCTCCCTCACCTGTTTTTCCTCTCAAGCGTTCTATCTCCGGCAAAAGCGGTTTGTCGGATTCTAGTTCATATGACGAGAGGCGTTCCGGAAATTTCGAGCAGCTCGACAAGCCATCATGTGTCTCGGATTTCATTGAAAACAGTTTTTTAATAGATTCAAATTCATCAATTCTCTTTAAAAAATTATCTTTATCAGCATGATTTGGGCAGTCTTTCACAATATATCCCTTCAAGTTTTATGTCTCCTCATAGTCGGTTGGGTACCAAACAAACCTGTTTTCTATCACTTAGCGAATTAAAATTTCTCATTTCAAAAATTGCTACTACAGCTTGTCCCTGCTGTAGATTTACCTTTCTATATAAAAAGATTTGTACCTTGTTTTCATCTGTTATTAGTCTATTAATTAGTTTCTTAAAATACTTCCGGTCCGGGTTTCTAATAGTCTTAGCCAAATTTTCATCCTAGCCAAGTGTTCTTAGCCAAGTGTTTTCAGCCAAGTGTTCATCCGTTCTCTCCTTCAAGCAATTTTCGCTTCTACTAACTTCTTGTCTGTTGCGGTTGATCTCTTCCAGCAGATTTACTCTCTCGACGTGGACTGACCTTTTTAGTTCACTCATTCTTAAGGAAATTTGTTCATTCTGTTCTCCTATGCTGCCCACTATGTTGGTCAAGGCTTCTCGAATTGATGCTCCGTTATCCACTAATGGGGTCACAAGTGGCGGTGTCACCCTGTCGGTCCCAGGTAGCTTGGTGCTAGTCGAGACTCGGGTCCTGATTCTCTGTCTCGACGTCTTTTCATAATCCACTCCCGGATCCGGAAGTGCGTTACATAGCCATGTGTTTCTATTCTTCCCAGTTCGCATTTCCAACTTCGTCAAGTTCACACAGTCTCCTGACTGCCCTGATCCGTTTGTGGTCTTGTTTATTGTCCTCACTACACCAAATTGGTCCATGGTGCCAGTCTCTCTATCGGTGTATGCGTCATTCTCCTGAGTCGAACTATTGAGGCTGACTTGAGATCCAAAGTCATCTTCCTCGTCATCGTTCTCTTCTTCTTCCTGGGTTTCTGCTTCATCGCCTGTACCCTTTTTCCATGGTAAATGGATAAAGTTTCCGAAAGTGTTCTTCACTCTTTCTGAAAATGATGAGGACGTTGCCGGTTTCTCCGTCACACCAAGCATCATGGTGTTGTCTGTGGGTGATCTTGTAGTCGCCACATTTTCAGTAGAGATGTCGGACAGTTCCGACATCTTTTCTCGGTCCAGGGTCGCGGTGGAAGTGACAAAATCTTGGCCTTGTTCTACCGGAGTAGATTCACTCGCCAATCTTCTGTTTTCTCTCCATTCCTCGAGTTGTCACCAACGAAAGAGTCTGTCACTGAGTATCTTTCCTCTTCGGGATCGTATTTATGCGCTCTGCTCACATCCCTTCGGGATCGTATTTATGCGCTCTGCTCGACTCCCCGGACAAATTTCCTTGACCCGGGTCCTGTTGATAATTTTGCCTGTCTTCATCAGCAACCTTCTCCCCGGACAAACTTTCTTGCCCTAGGTTTTGTTCAACCTTTTCGCCCTCTGATCATAATCCTCAAAGCTGACGGTTTTCTTTTGTGTCCTTTTCACCTGTTCTTTCCGTTTGTATCATGTGCTTGTCAAGACGATTTGGGGTATCGAGGACATTAGTTGCTGAACTATAGTCCTATAATCCCTATCATTTTCTTCGTGTTGACGTCTTGATCTTTACTTTCTCACTGACTGTTAGCGATGCTATGGCTATTGCCCACTCCGGTTCATCTCTTGTCACTTCATATCCAACAAATTGCCCAGTATCCGCATCACTTGCAGAGTGACCTGCACTGTTTTGTCCAGCATTGAGAGGCTGTTTATGTTCATACTAGAGAGTTTCTTTTGGACCAGGTTCGAACGTAGCAACAGATCCAAAGGCACCGGGTCCTTCTTTGATAAGATCTTTATTTCCGCTGCTTTCTCCACCAGTAATTCGGGGTTTCCCGGAATCGGATGTCAGATTTGTCCAACCATCTCGTCAAGGTAAGCGCCTCATACGTTTCTTTGTTCAGAATTGAGAACCCTTCCTTAATTTCCGCCTGATTGGCTTTTTTCTGTTCTAGTCTTTAATAAAACTCAGTTTTCTTGCTGAGGCTGTCAGCATTCTGGTGTTTGTCCCGCATCCTGTGCTCGATTATCATGTGGTAGCCATCTAATCTGACTATCCACGACCAATATAGCTCTGATCCATCGAGTACAACTTCAACCAGGATAACGCTCTATTGTCCACGCGTAACTTAAACGGAGTGCTCCCTAAGTATGCACGGTACTTCTCCACGAATGTGACAACTGCAAACATTCCTGCCTTTGGTGCACCATACTTCATTTCAGTGTCACTCAACACCTTACTGACTTATGCAAGGGGACGGAGAACTGTTGCTCCATTCCATTCCTGCTCCTGATGCAGTATTCCTGAGATGGCTACTACTGATGTGTCTGTGTAAAGAACATACATGCCCTTCTCTGTAGGCAAGCCTAGCACTGGCGCTTCGTACAATTCACGCTCTATGTTCTCGAAGGCAGCTTGAGCTTCTTCATTCCATTCGAACATCTTTCCTTTGTTGCGCATCAGCTTCTGCATGGTATACACCTTGTCTGCATGTCATTTTATGAACTCACGGCGATAATTGTTAAACCCTAGGAAGCTCATGAGTTGTGTGTCCGTTCTGGGAGCCTGCGATGTCAACACAGCCTCTTTTGCTTCCGGGTCCGGCCTGTCCATCATTCTTCCTAGATAATTGATTAAATCCCTGAGGATTTCACATTTCGATGGTTTGCACTTCAAGCCTGCTCTTTTCATGCAGCCAAAGACCTCATCGAGCCAATCAATGAGGTCTTCTAGGGTGGGTTTTCTTATGGCCACGTTATCCACGTAACACATCACAAGATTCCCGTACTCCTTCGTCTCTCTGGTCAAAGCCTGAGCCATCAGTCTTTGAAAAGTGGCCGTGGCGTTGCACAAGTCAAAGGGCATCCTCTACCACTGGTACAACCCCAATTCACATGGGAATCCGGTCTTTCGTCTGTCCTTCTTCCACAGAGAGACCTGCCAGAAGGCAGAACCCAAATCCAGTGTGGTGAAGAACTTGGTGTCACCAAGTATCGAGAGGCTCTCGTCTATTCGCGGTATCGGGTACGCATCTTTTATTAACACTGCGTTCAAGTAACGAAAGTCGCAATAGAACCTTAGCTGTCTCCCTTTTTCCTGGCCATGACTACCCCCAAAGCCCAAGGCAATTTCGAGGGCTCTATCATGTCGTGTTTGAGCAACATTTCTATTTCCGCTCGGAACGCTTCCGATTTATGTGGCGTCATCCGTCTTGCGCCTTCCCTATGAGGAATGGCGCCTTCCTCTAATTCTATTTTGTGTTCGACAAAGTTTCAGTAGCCGATGCCTGCCTTATGTTTTGAAAATACGTCCGCATTCCGATTTGAAACCGCCCTCAATGACTCAAAATCTCCTTCACCTATTTTTCCTCTCAAGCGTTCTATCTCCGGCAAAACCGGTTTGTCGGATTCTAGTTCATATGACGAGGGGCGTTCCGGAAAATTCGAGCAGCTCGACAAGCCATCATCCCTCTCGGATTTCATTGAAAGCTGTTTATTAATAGATTCAAATTCATCAATTCCTTTTAAAATTTTATCTTTATCAGCATGATTCGCGCAGTCTTTCACACTATATCCCTTCGAGTTTAATGTCTCCTCATTGTCGGTTTTCATTGGCAAAGCGTAACCAAGTTTTTTTCCACGCTGGATCGTAACTGTGGTGTCCAGTGTGTTCAAAAACACACTGGCACACAACCCGTTTCGTGTTATGGAAAAGCTCCGGCCTAAATTCACCGAGCTTTGACTATTTGCGTTGGGACCAAACAAACCTGTTTACTATCACTTAACAAATTTAAATTTCTCATTCCAAAATCTGCTACAACAGCTTGTCCCATTTGTAGGTATATCTTTCCATCTAAAAACATTGGTACCTTGTTTTCATCTGTTATTAGTCTATTAATTGGTTTCTTAACATACTTCCGGTCCGGGTTTCTAAAAAGTATTAGAAACCGGACCGGAAGTATGTTAAGAAATCAATTACTAGACTAATAACAGATGAAAACAAGGTACCAATCTTTTTAGATGAAAAGGTAAAACTACAGCCGGGACAAACTGTAGTAGCAATTTTTGGAATCAGAAATTTAAATTCGTTAAGTGATAGTAAACAGGTTTGTTTGGTACCCGACACAAATAGACAAAGCTCGGTGATTTTAGGCCGGAGCTTTTCCATAACACAAAACGGGCTGTGTGCCAGTGTGTTGTTGAACACACTGGACACCACGGTTATGATCCAGCGTGGAAAAAAAACTTGGTTACGTTTTGCCGATGAAAACCGACTATGAGGAGACACAAAACTTGAAGGGATATAAGGTGAAAGACTGCCCGAATCATGCTGATAAAGATTTCCCCTCCAATTTTCTCTCCTGTCCGAATCGCTGGGATGACTTCTTCCTTGATTCGCATGACTCCTGTTCCTGGAATCACATCTCCCAGTCGCATGTGTATCTTGCGTCGGTCGTTCGTTTGAGGTCGGTCTGTTGCCAGTTGAACTTCCTCTGATGTTTGGGCCCCGTGGTCTATTGTCCCCTGTGGCATAGCTTGATGAACTGCCCCTTCCTCTAGTGGGTCCATATGTCTTTCTGCTATTTGGTTGTTCATTAAAGTTCACTCTCGGCTACCTGCTGGGTTCTCCCTAGTTCGATTCCCCATTTTTGATCCACTCCTGCTGCCTAGTAGCCCATCCAACCTATCCATGATAACCTGAGTTCGCCTCTCCATCATCGCATATATCTTCGTGTCAAGAGTCCCAAGAGTCTGCTCTTGTTGAATTCTCAACTTCTCCATGTCAGCTCTCAATCGTAACTCTCTCCGCTCAGCTTTTTTCGTCATTCGCGACAAGTTCTTAGCCAAGTGTTCATCCGTTCTCTCCTTCAAGCGTTTTTCGCTTCTACTAACTTCTTGTCTGTTGCGGTTGATCTCTTCCAGCAGATTTTCTCTCTCGACGTGGACTGACTTTTTTAGTTTAGTTCACTCATTCTTAAGGAAATCTGTTCAATCTGTTCTCCTATGCTGCCCACTATGTTGGCCAAGGCTTTTTCAATTGATGCTCCGTTATCCACTAATGGCGTCACAAGTGGCGGTGTCACCCTGTTGGTCCCATGTAGCTAGTCGAGACTCGGGTCTTGATTCTCTGTCTCGACGTCTTTTCATGATCCACTTCTAGATCCGCAAGTGCGTTACATAGCTCTGTGTTTCTATTCTTCCCAGTTCGCATTTCCAAATTCGTCAAGTTCACAAGGTCTCCTGACTGCCCTGATCCGTTTGTGGTCTTGTTTATTGTCCTCACTACACCAAATTGGTCCATGGTGCCAGTCTCTCTATCGGTGAATGCGTCATTTTCCTGAGTCGAACTATTGAGGCTGACTTGAGATCCAAAGTCATCTTCCTCGTCATCGTCCTCTTCTTCTTCCTGGGTTTCTGCTTCATCGCCTGTACCCTTTTTCCATGGTAAATGGAAAGAAGTTTCCGAAAGTGTTCTTCACTTTTTCTGAAAGCATCATGGTGTTGTCTGTGGGTGATCTTGTAGTCGCCACATTTTCAGTAGAGATGTCGGACAGTTCCGACATCTCTTCTCGGTCCAGGGTCCCGGTGGAAGTGGCAAAATCTTGGCCTTTTTCTACCGGAGTAGATTTAATTGCCAATCTTCTGTTTTCTCTGGCTTCCGGTCCATGTCCCTCACGGTTCTCATCCATGGCAGGGTCCGGATGGACCTCTACTTCTAACATTGCCTTTAGTCTTTCTGGCCCTAAAAACCGGTCTGCTTACTGTGTTTTTCGCTGAAAAACGAAAAAGGAGTATTAATATAGGCTGAATAAATAGTAATACTTGCAGTTTTATACCCCTCCGGGCTTGTTCAATAACTGAATTAAGGTGCTTAACTCGGAAAATCGCAGTTCAGTGAAGGGTCACTACAGTGCAGTCACTGTCGAGTCCCCCGCAGATTAATACCCTACTTTTTGTACCAAAAGGGATACAAAACTTGTTAACGATTTCCAAAAGTCGATTTTTGTTATCCTTCGGCCCCTTCTTGTCGCTCCTTGCACCGCTTGCCGGATCAGATTTCTTCTCTAATCCCGACACCTTTCCGGATTGGGACAAAGGATTAGCATTAACGTGCTTAAATACTCAAATAACCAGACAGTACAAGCACCACATACGGGCCACAAATCTGATCGTAAGGATCTTGACTGATATAAATGCCGGTAACAACAATATATCTAACAACAACAAACGGGAGGGTCGGATCACATCTCGTCTGGGGGTTTTTTCGGTTATTTATTTGTTTTTTGTTTTTCCTTAGGTACTTTACTACTTTCTGTTTGGTTTTTTGTATATCTTCAAGTGTTTTTGGTCACACACCTCTCAGGAAACGACGGGACGGCCAATCACCCCACCCTTCCTGGAACGTGATATTTCGGTCTTAACTAGGTTAAAAAGCTATTCACGGGAATCCGGAAGGCTTCCGCGTTCCGAACTACCCTTCCGCTCCGGTGCTTAGGGCCTTGTTATGGGCATCCGCTCGGCGCGTAGTGCTCGTTAACGGTTCTCCCGGTCATGGTGTTAATAAGAATAACACCCAGGAGCGCCATAGAAACATCTATATAACAATCGCCCGGAAGTACATATCGACGGAAAATAAAGCTAGGTTCTAAAACGACTGGCTAGCGTCTAAACACAACTCTACATTCTTTCCACCGTCTCTGCCAAAGCCAGTTCTTTTGGTGTTCGTTCTAACATCGGTTCGACAAAAAAAACTTAATTGTTTCCGGCTTCGATCAGAACGCACTAATTAAATTAATTATATGCAAAAATAGTGAGCTGATGGCCGGGTCTCAGTATCATCAGACCACGAGATCACTCCTAAAAACAGGGCTACTACTTATATATTATTTTAATATTGTTTTTGTTCAGTAGATAAAAAACAACATCTCCATCGAAGACGGATCAACCCTATTCCCCAACTCCTAGCTTCTCATTATCTGAAAACGAATTTGGATGTTAATTAAATTCAACTCAGGACATTCCGGGAAGCTAAAAATTTGTATAAAACAGTTCAAGTTGCAATCCCGAGACCCTTCCGGAATCCCAAATCCGGAGAAATAACACTCTTATTTCTTTCCGGAAGGCTGGACACGTCGTCTCAACACCCTTCCTGTTTGTGGTGAACTGCTTGGTAAAGATTGTAACTGCACAACCGTTACAACTCGGAGTGGTTTCTGACAATTTCTAACCACACTTTCAGTCTTCTGCCGTTTTTTTGTAGTTGTTGTCACTGAGACTACTGTTGTTCTGATTTCGCCGTTTCAGAGTGTGCGGAATCATGAAAGATTATGTGTCGTTTATGTCCAAATCGAAAGTTTTAAAATTTAGCATGGCAGTCAAAACTTACCCTTCCCGATTTGTCTGATCGTTTAAATAACGTCACTAATTCATCAAAACCATAAATCTTCCCGGTCAGATGCTCCAATAAAAATTCGAATGCGAAATTGCATTTTGTTCATTCTGGTCGAATGTCACATCTGATGATAATGTAAATCTTTTTTTTCCTAGACCTGGCAGTCGCGCTGAACAGAGGACTTTAATGCTAATGCCAACATCGTGTCAGCAAAATATTGGATTGACCTTCGCCAGGAGAAACCCGCCAGTGCAAAGAGAAAACTCCGTGAACTCTTTTCAAACTAATCGATATCAGATTTCAACCCTGAAAATTCATGTACTTTTTCATCAGTTGTCGCTGTTTATCCTGTAGATCTTAATGCTCTAACTTGTATTTCTGCCGCTTTATCAATTGTCGCTGCTTAACCTGTAGATCTTAATGCTCATACTTGTATTTCATACGCGCTTTCTTTGATGTGAAAATTTTCAACC